GCGTCTTTTTTTTTTTTTATAGTACTGAACAACTTTTAAAAAGAAATTACCGAAAAAACGGGTCCGGTGTCCCTTACATTTATCCCGTGGCCTTGCAGGCTGGGTAAGGCACTCCCGAGTCCCGGCCAACCCCATCCCGACCACAGCCAAAATTGTCTTTGAATGGTTCAGTAAACTAAAAACCAAGGAATTGACAAAAAAACAGTTAGGAATCTACTGATCCTTTTTTTTTTTTTTTTTTTTGGTAATCTACTGATCCTAAAGTGGTCGTATGGATTGAGAATCAAGGAAAGAACAATGAAAATATGAAAATGAAAGTAGATGAAATCTATCTATAAGAAATCACAGAGAAAAGAGCCTAATCTAACAACCATCCATTCAAAACAACCAACTACCTACAGAAGACAGATAAACAGTGTACCAAAACACGTAAAGAAAGTAATATACAAGTCTAAGCACAGACTCAAACAAAGAAGGCAGAACGCCGCAACATTGGTGAACGGCCCAGTGATGTGTCCACAGTGACGAAGCCCCAAAAAACTCCCCATCTGCTCCCAAACCACTTAATAGCCTTAGCCGAAAAGCCTTTTTTTCTGAACGCGGTATTCCCAATCTGCAGAAATGGCCTGTTTAAACCACCAGTACTTGGCCCAGCTATCGGCCGCGGAAAAAAAATAGAGTAGAAATGTTTCTAGTTGGATGAATTCGGGCGCTCCTGTAGTGGCCCGTACGTTTCCTAAAATTGCGTAGCGCTAATGCTACGCGACTTTAGGAAGTACTGGTGGTTTAATAGAATATTTGATCTCAGCTCTAACCATCGGCGGTATCAGGTGCTCGTCCTCTCTCACCCGGGCATTTCTGAGGTTCCAGAGGGTCCATAAAATGGCACCTCTGATAGTCTCTTCTGCGTGGGCAAATTGTAACAGTTACTGCGGCCTCGTTCTCCTGGCAGCTGTCCCTATGAGGATGAAATTGTCTCTGCAACGGGTATCCACGCCCGGGATCGGAACACCCGATTGTCTCCACCATTCCCAAAATGGCCTAGAAAGGTTGCACTGTAACACCAAGTGTTGAATGTCTTCCATCCGGGTCCCCAGGCATAGCCGACATTCCGGTGCTGCCTTCGCCTTTCTTCTAGCATGCATAGTGTAGAAGATAATTGCACTCTCCTTTTTTTCTTTTCTTTTTTTTTTTGCTAATTGTAGGCATTAGGAGTAGTGGTAGGGATCTCACCACCGCCAGGATAGTGGCCTTACACAAGGGCAAGTGTTTCTTCAATACCTTTGAGACTCAGTATTGCGGCAAACAGGGGATTTGAAGAGAGCTCGAGTCTTAACAGGTACAAAGGGTAGTCGAAACAAGGGGGTCAGAAAAAGGGTTAGAATAAGGGTAAGAATAAGGGGGATTGCAGACACCAAGGATTGGAGCTCAGCCACTACCAGCAGGAGGACCGAAGTCATTGAAGCATGGCTGACACAATCCTGGGTGGGGCTAGGCCAGCGGGAAGTAGGAGCTCTATAAAGTGGAAGGGTATCATATGCAGCCCCGAGGGTAAAAAGGATGCTCTGGAGCAAGAACTCAAATGGCCATATGCCCAACAAACACAGTACTGCAAAGATGTATCCAAGGGACGCTGGACCCGATTTCCAGCAGGTGCCGCTCCCCACCAATAGATGGAGCCTCCCCGACGGTGCTAGATGCGGTCTCTTATACACATCTAGATGTGTATAAGAGACAGGGTAGGTAGTGTGAGGTGAAATTGAGAGTGGAATATAGCTTTAAAATAATTTAAAAAAAATGCACTCTCAAGAGTGCCGCTGACAGTGTGTGGCCAAGGCCAAAAACTCTTGAAAGCGTCAACTCTTGAAATGCCTGACAGCTCTTGAAACCTTTCAAGTTTGGCGAGGCCCTCAGTTGGTACACCCATGAACTGTTGGACTGGAGTACAGACACAATTGGAATCCAGACCAGAGACAATCAGATGGACAAAATAAATTCCTTCTCGATTTATGCATGTCATCCTTGCGCAGGGGCCATGCTAATCTTCTCTGTATCGTTCCAATTTTAACGGATGTCCCGAAGGACAAATAAATTCATTCTGAATTACCATTCTGAATTACCTAGGGGCCGTCAATTCGGAAAAAAATGACGGAACCCCCCCCCCCCCTGGTTGTATACATCGCCCGAACTGCGATTTGAAATTGTACCTTGGCCCATAGTGCAATTATAACTCATTTCCGTGACTCCCGGGCAGTTCCCCCCCCCAAAAAAAAAGATGATGGCCCCCGCCACACCACTCCAGAGTTCTAGAAAATTTCGGGTAGTGCTCTGGAACATGAAATCCCCTCCTGAGAGTGCCTTTCACCACACTGCACTCTAGAAGGGGCCGCTCTCCAAGTCTGAAAATGACAGGTGCCAGATATGGACACAGTCAGTGTGAAGCAGTCCGGGGGAAAACTGTCCCTTAAAGTTTGAGCTCCACTCCGAATCTGGGACGATAAAGGAGCCCTCTCGCACCAGGCGGTGGTTTCAGAAGTGCTCTCGGGAACTCAATCTGACAGATCAAATTCGGGAGCTGGTGTGGCTCAAGGCACTGAGTCTCCCGAAAAACGGCCATTTTCAGGAGTAGTGTGGCGAGGCCCGATACCTCAACTTGAAGGCGGTCACCTTTAAACCACCAGAACATGGCCCCAGGCAACTGGAGAACCTGTTTTGAGCCTCTCCGAAAATTTAGGAGGCTGAGCGCCATAAACAAAATGAAGGGGAAACTACGCGGGAGTCACAAAAATGAGTTAGAATTGCACTATGGGCCAAGATACAGTTTTGAATTGCAGTTCGGGCAAACGTATACATCCCAGCTTTCTGGCCAGGTAGGGTGCCCGAAGTGCAATTGCAAACTGTATCTTGCCCCATAGTGCAATTATAACTCGTTGTTGTGACTCTGCGGAAGTTATCAGCGGCGGGCGGCCTATGAAAGGGGCCCTCGCTGGCATGTACTGGTGCTTTAAAAAGAAGATATAGATCATCTGGACAACCACATGGCAGATTACCTCAAGTGACTGTCATATGTCCAGTATCCAACCTGGCTGGTTTTTTTTTTTTTTTCAGTATCGAACCTTCTTTTTTTTTTTTTTTCCCAGATGGAATTTTATTTCGAACGGGCCCCGTGCCCAAGGCTTACCTCAGCATAGCAGAGAATAAGGTGAAAATAGCAGAGGGCAACTGGCCTCGGGTGCACTCGCCATCCCAAGCCATCCCTCTGTAGAAAACCAGAAAACAAAAACACTTCTCAACAAACTAATTCCAAATACTACCTAAATGCCGTAAAAACTCGAAGAAACGGCGAAACACCAAAAATCATATCACAAAAAAACCTATGGCGAACACAACCACCAAGCCCCACAGCTAAACCCTAAAACGAAGGAAAACCTGTAGAAAGCCACAAAACAAAAACGCTACTCAACAATAGAATTCCTCATACTACTTAGATACCATAAAGACTCAAAAAACAGAACAGAAACACCAGAGTTCATATCACCAAAGCGTCTATCGAGCAAAACCAAAAACTATCGAAACCATTCCCAAAACCATCGTCCCAAAAACACCTGAAACCCACGGAAAAACAAAAACCTACCGACTGAAAAGAAACCAACAAGCCAATCCTAAAGCCAAAAAACAACTCAATCTCAAAGACTAAATGTGGACAACCAAGAAACCCAGACCTACCGTACCACCAACAAGCCAATCCTAAAACTAAAAAAACAACTCAATCTCAGAGACCAATCGTGAACAATCAAGAAACCCAAACCTACCGTACCACCCACAAAGACATCGGGCCAGCATCTCGCACGTAATTAGCTCCGTTTGCACTGTTTCGCCGAATAACTCCGACTACCAATACTCACCACTCGATGCGAACGACCAGAGATAAACGCTCAGGAAAATAGCACACAGGCCCACTCTCTTTCAAAATAGGGAACAAGCCCGCACAGGCCAGGCCCACTCTCTTTCAAAGTAGGGAACAAGCCCGCCCAACTGCCCACTCCCTTTCAAATAGAAAGCAGGTAATTATGCAAAACCACTTATCCTGAAGCACTGGCAATTCGCGGCATAGTAAAGTCCAAGATGCCGGAAGAGTTGAAGCAGACGAATCTCACAACGCACGCTCCATCTATAGTCTTTGAATCTCCGGTCAGATGCACCGTCGGTGCCCTGGTCATAGCTCCATATAGCGTATTGCAGGCGGTGAAGAAAACCATGCAGCACCGCGCCCAGCACCCACTCCCAACATAGCTACGACAGACTCCCCACCCACCATGTGAGATTCGTCTGCTTCAACTCTTCCAGCATCTTGGACTATACATGGAGCGTGCGTTGTGAGATTCAAAAAAATCTGAAAAACAAGTGGTCCCGGGCCACTCTGGTAGCCTAGTTTCACAGAGATTTTTTTATGGCCTAATAAAAGCCAAAAAACTAATAAAACATGTAGGGTTGTAGATCTTTCAAAGATGTACAACAACATTTTTTATTTTTTTTTGAACTTTAATGTATTTAAAAAAAATCAAAAACATAAAAACATCAAAAAAGAGAAAAAAGACACACACACACACAACGACACATAACGGACAAACACACATGCACACACAGACAAACACACCAACAATCACGTGCACACACACACGCACACACACACAAATACACACATACTTCCGGGTAGGTTTGGGGATGGCAGGATGGGGCGGGCGGCAGGACGGGGCCGGCGGGGGAAGGAGGATTTGGGGCTCGTAGTGGTTTAAAGGGCTTCCGGTTAGGTTTGGGGACTCCTATGGAGGGGTTCAATTTTTCGTTTTTTTTTCTGGTTCCAGTGTTTGGGCGTGTTGGGCCACGTGTCCAAGGCCCAACGCCCCCAATCCGTTTTTCCAGATTCAACGAGAGACCCCCGATTTCCCGTTAAACAGGATTCAAAGGGGACTCCGGGGACTATTCAACGGGTAGAACGGCGTTTAATTCCATCCGTTGCCCGTTTATAGGACACACAGCATACTCACATTGGATGCTTTTCAAAAAAACAAAAAAAAAGAGGCCTGACAGTGTGGTCAGATACATCCAGGAGGATGTGTATGTTTCCTTTGCTTATTTCCGCTTGTCGCTTTCAATTTTCTTATGAATTTGCAGCCCTCTTGTCACGATGTTATCTCCGGGAAATGGACCCCATCAGCAGCTGATGTGGCTGGCGGACGTTCTGCTGGTTTTGGCGTGACGACACTCATAATCAATGGAGGCGTCGAATGTGGCAAGGGCACGACCACTCCCCAAGAAGCAAGCCGGAAGGGCTTCTTCGACCGCTACTGCGGTCTCTTTGGAATTGAGCAGGGATCAAATCTGGACTGTGCCAACATGAGCCCCTTCTAATGAAGTAACTAAGAAACACCCGTGCTACTCCCGGCAAGGGGACACTGGCTACTCAAGGAAAAACGTGTCTCTTCGAGCATGTGACAATCTAAGTTCTGACTTTCTGCTGCACCCATTTCCGGGCGGCCCCCTGCCATGATAATTGGGCTCTTATACCACGTTGTATTGTGTCTCACGATAATTGGGCTCTTATACAACATTGTATGATGTGTTGTCGGGGGATCCCTAACGTTTTGTGAGTTTTGTTTGCGGACTTGGGGGCTTGTTAGACACTCCTCGGGCGCGTAAAGTCCCCGAAGAAATTATCGTTCCACCTACCCTCGGGGATAAAAAGAAAAAAAGAAGTGAAAGTGTTTCCTCCGGGAATCCTCGGGGAGTCCTCGGCTACAGCCATTTTGTGGCCTTCCCCAAGGTACCTCCCGAGGTCCCTTGGAGGTCAAGGATCCACGATAATCGGAGCGGCGAGGGCACCCGTCGTCGACAAGAAATTTTCGTCGGCTGGTCCATTGGAGTTCCTACCAGGCAGCGCAGGGACATCTTGGGTCTTCAACGTTCGTCTTCCATGGTCCTCTTGCCAACGGTAACCGTTGGTGGCCGGCCAGCCTCCGCAAATGTCTTCAACCGGTGTTCTCCCTCGCAGTGCGTCGTGGCAAACGACTGGGGGGTGGCCGTGGAGGGTGTTTTCTCGCAGGGGAGGATGGCAGGACCTGGTGCTCAGTTGATCATGATGTGTTAGTCTTTATTCCGTGTGTCATTTTCCTGTCTCCGGGTGCCTTCACAGCGTCTCCAAGTTGTTGTGACATGGTTTCGTCCTGGCGAAGTGGGCCCTTTTGTGAAAGAGGGGTTTATGGGGAAGGTCGTCAAGTATGATGGCGGATGTCGATGGTGACTTCTGCGTTCCCGGGGTTCGTGTAATGGTGCAAGCTTGGAGTTCTTGCACCACTTATACTTGTAACACACGCATGTGCGCTCTTCGCGGTTGCGTCCATGAACTTCGATTCACTAGAGTGTGCAGTCATCGCCATCGTGATAGAGTGTGATGTATGCAATATCTCATTTGACTAATGGCTTCACATTATTTGGCTTCACCATCATGCCTTCGAAAATGACCTTTGTCATGCATGCCTACCTAGGGTGCTTAATGTGCATGCTTTCATTGTCGTCTATCTTTGTCATCTCGTGCCCTGTGTTCCTGCGATTTTGCGCTCCCTTTTGTTGGCTTTGTTGACGTCTTTTTGCTAGCACGAGTCTAAAATGGACGTTGTCGTTCGTATGTCGGCGAGAGAGAGGTGACACACGCACGCACACACGTGCACACGCACACGAACACACACACACGCACACACACGGTGACACACCCAGTGCCACCCACACACACACGCGCACACACACACACACAGTGTGGTCACCACGTACGGGGACGGCCCGTACGGACTTCCGTACGACCATGCGTACGGGCCCTCAGCGCCCGTACGGCCCGTACGTACGGACTTCCGGCCCTCCGTACATGGCCTTCCTGGGGGGGTGTTGAGGGGGTGGATGGGCTGGGGGGAATGCGGGTGACGTGGGCCCATGGGGTACCCCCCCATTCAAAAACAGAAAGAAAAAGAACAGGGGTAACTAGGGCCCTAGGGCGCAGTCACGAAAGCAGTTTGTAGATGCATTTCGAACTGCCTTTTTGGAGTCCAGTACGGTCGCAAGTTTCGACTGCAGTCGAAACTCGTGACATGCAGAAAAGTCGCAAGGCCGAGTTTGCATGTGGCCTTTTTTTTTTTTTTTTTTTTTT